AACACTCTGCAAACTCCTATGCACAAGGCAAAAGTCCAATTCGCTTCCGCTGCTGATGGTGGCACAACTAAGCCTCACAATATGACCTTTCGTAAGCTGACAGAACGTGGAAGCAGCAAGCTCTTGAGGTTCACAGTTGAAGTCGCCTGCAACAATCCACGGCTCGCTGAGAGCCGTTAGGAAAGCCGACAACTCCTCCAACAATCGACTGTTGGTGTCACCATACACGCCTTCACCATCCTTCAAGTAGATGGACACCAAGACCAACCTCACCTTTGCAAACCTGATCCAAGCCGCTGCCCAACAAGGTCCGCTGCCAAATTGGGGCCCCGGCTGAATCTGCACTGAGTGGTGCAAGGCAAGAAAAACTCCACCTGACGTGCCACCTTGCTCAGTCGCCTTAGCAGCAACGCCTGTGACATGAAAACCCTTCGACCTAAGACTGGACTGCAATCGCTGGAAAGCAGGGGCCAGAAGCTTATGCTCCTGTACAAGAAAACAGCGGCAGCCACTTTCAAGGAAAAACTGCTGAGCAGACTGATTCCAAGAAGTGACATTGGCAAAACTGAAACCAAAACTTGCGAGGCTAGCCTCATTCCCCGTCAGTGCAGGCTGTGCGCTAGGAACAGGGGGGTGCCTCCGGCGTTGGTGCATCATTGTTAGGCTCAGCGGGGTTGCGCTTGGGCCGTTTGTTGCTGGCGTCTTGCAGTACTCCCAAGCACAGCATCTGCAGCTCATCCCTCTGCTCATCCGTGAGTTTGTCGCCCAGCTCTGCCAACAAGGCTTGGAATCGGACCAATGGGGACTGCGCCACATCAGCTGGAGGGGGTACTTCCGGTTCCATGAGATTCGGCTTGAGGACCTTGACGGCAAAGATGCTGGAGATTTCTTCCATTTCTTTTTGGGCTGTTCCAACCTCCTCTTGTACCTTGCGGACCTCCTGTTGAACCTCCTGGAGCTGCTGCTGCAGCTTCTCCTCTCTGGCTTCCAACTGGAGCTTTCTCTGGCCCAGCGTCCGCAACTTTGCCGACTGCGCTTTGTACCTAGCCGTGATGGCTTGGGGGTCATCCTTCTTGTCAACTTCCACTGGCTCCAAACTGGGCTCAACTGCCTCTCGCAGTGCTTCGGGTAGAGCATCCCAGTGAAGTTGCAAGAGGTCTTGAACCTTGGATTTCCACTGATCAGCTGCAGCTGTTGGGACGGTGGCCTCAGGCCCAAAACGCGGGATCTTGTCAGGCATTGGCCAGAGTAGACTGTCACCAACCTCATCGCGCATGGGAATCCACGGTTGTCCACACTTGCAAATCGGATTGGCACCAATCCGGTTTTGAAAGATCCATGCCCCACAGCAGTCACAGACCTTGTATGGCCTATGTTGCTGACCACCCCCTTCTTTCCAAGGGCGCGGGGACCTCCACCCCTGCTTACTTGACTGCCATCCTTGATGCCATCTAGCACTCCACGGCATAGCGCAACGACTAACAGGAGTCCTAACACTTTGCACTGCATTAGCCGAAATGCTAAACCATAGTCCTGGTCCTGAACTCGAAACTCCAAACCTTGGGTTTGCTTAGTAAGAGTCCGAAAGATCAGTTGTGGTAGTTCGAAAACACAAAGAATGAAACAGCAAAAAAGCTTAAGCAAACATTAGGTTTTGGGATCGGTATCTTTGTCCAAAACAGCGGGAAGAAAAGATTTGCTTCAAAGCGCAGGGTGTCAAAACATTTTCGGCAGCATGGACATATTGTCATACAACACATGGTCTTCTTTTTATTTTGCGAGATGCCAAATGCAAGAAGCTTTTTTTTCTGTGTTGGTTTTCCAAACATTGACTTTCATTTGCACATCTCACAAAGACAAACATGTGCTTTCTACATGGTCATCTAGCAATGGATATGCAATGTGCATTATTGTATTATGTTGTATATACATATCACATATGCATACAGTATGATGTCTGTATATCTACATCTATATATATGCATATATATATATATATACACATGAGAAAAACATATATACATATATACATATGTACATATATATATATACATATATACATATATACATAAATATATATACACATATATTCACATTACAACTATACAGCAGGCATCCTCAAATTCAAGCCGAACCGCAACCCCAAGTCTGAACCTTTGAAGCACCGGAGGGTTGTGAAAATTAAATCCAAACGCTAGTTATTCGTAGAGCTTGGAAGCCCAGGCTCCCAGGCTAGGATTGCATCCTGAATCCGCAGAAAAGCCCTTCTCTGTCAAACACAAGCCCTTGGGTTCTAGGGTTTCGGCTAGCTGTTCAATGGCTGTCCACCGATGGCTGTTAAACTTGAATTTCATGCTTGCCACCCAGCAAGTATTAAATCAATCTTTAAGCTGTTTAATAGCTGCTAGCTGGCGGTCATTGAACGGTGTCTTAGTCTTAGTGACCGGCAGCTGATCACAGTCATCCTTCTCTGCAACATCTAGTCCGTGCAGGCAAGTTCTTGGGGTCTAGGATTAGGTTCGTTCAATGGTTAAATGGGTTGATTTAGATCTAGTACATGCTTTGAATATATTGCAAAAACAGTTCTCGTGAGGTCTCTGGCTTCAAACTTTGAACACATTGTGAGAAAAACAAACAGCCCACAAAGTAAGTTGCCATGGCCTTCGTCACAGGAGATTCAGCATTGAAGTTTCAAGGCAGTGTCGGTTGGACGTGCGTCACTTCAGTTGGCATTCTCACTGCTTCGCTCTGATGATTGCAAAGATTCAACAGATTTTGTCTGTAGTTGGTGACTACGGCCAGGGGCCAGGATTGAGCATGTTGGTGGAGCCAATGTTTAGATGGGCATTGGGAATTGAATTCCGATTTCGTCTTGGACAGGTTTGAGAGATGCAGGACGAGCTCAGCCTCAGAGTCAAGCCTCAGAACCCACCGTCGATATGGAATCACTTGACAGCTCTTCAGATGTCAAAGTTATTTCTTGCGTCAAACTCTGATCAAAGTTTCGTGTGACTTTCTATTCATTGGACGTTTGAGTTTTTCACTTGCCTTCTTCTTATCTCTTGTATTTTCCTACAAACCCTCCCACAAAGCGATTTCATGTGCCTTCTTCTTCTTTTCTTTGGTGACTGCGTTTTGCTTGAGCTTGTTGTTCTTTCCTTTTTTGACTTTCTTTCATGTAGCTTCCTCTTCTTTTGATTGGTGATTGCGTTTTGTTTGAGTTGTTCTTTTCTCATTTTAGTTTGC